TCCCCGAGGCGGCTGCGGGCCCCGGGAGGTGCTCCCCTGGCCCCGGGGGATGCAGGCTTGCCGCTGCCTCTGCATCCCGGAGTGAGTCCGTCTAGAGGTGCCCATCTGCCCTCCCGGTGGGGTGTCTGCATAAGAAACGACTTTCTTTCTTAAGGCCTGGCTCTGGTTTCATCTTTCCATCCTTCCTGACATCCCTGGGAGAGGCCTAGTGGCTGTATCTGTCTAAAGGAAAAAGGGGTCTTTCTTGCAAGCATGTGTGCATCCCTGATTGAGTCCGTCTGTAGGTGCCGATCTACCGTGGTGTGCCTGCATAAGACCGTATCTTTCTTCTTAAGGCCTGGCTCTGGTTTCATCTTTCCATCCTTCCTGGCATCCCTGTAAGAGTCCTAGTGGCTCTACTTGTCTAAAGGAAGGAGGGAGCTTTCTTGGCCGGCGTGTCCACGTCGTGGATTGAGTTTGTCTATAGGTGCCTGCATAAGACAGTACAGGCAGCCCTCGGATTTACAGCACAATTGGTTCCTGGAAACTGCAACTTAAGTCAAAACGTTGTAACTTGGAACCGTTGCTCTGTAGGAAACAATGTTATAAATGGGAGATAGGTTCCTGAACCAAGGACCGATACTCTATTTTTACCAAAAATACCCCAGAATTTTGTACTCGATCAATTATAGATGAGTAATATAGCTACATTCATGTATTTATATTGCAAATAGCAATCCTATTGATTTGGAAGCGCTTCTTTGAGATAACTTCTTTTATTGATTTGGAAGCACTTCTTTGCTGGACTTTTGAAAGACTCTTGGTTGGACTTTTCGACGGGTTCTTGGCTGGAGTCGTTTCAGGAGTCTTGGCTGCAGGTTTTTCTGGAGTCTCGTCAGCTTTCTTAAAGTGTCCAAGGAAGTTTGGAGAGATGTCCTCCAGGGACATGGGCGATGTAGCAAACTTGTTCGCTGGCGTGGCATTGCATCAGATCAAGCGTTGTAAAGTCAGAACTGACGTCATAAAGTTGAATCAGTGTCAATTTATAACGGTTGTAAGTACAAAATGTTGTAACTCAAAATGTTGTAAGTCGAGGACTGTCTGTATCTTTGTTTCGTAGGGCCTGGCTCTGATTTTGTTTTTGCGTCCTTCCTGACATCCCTGTAAGAGCCCTAGTGTCCATCCCTGTACAAAGGAAGGAGAGATCCTATCTTCAAGAAAGGGAGGAAAGTGGATCCGGCTAACTATAGGCCCATCAGCCTGACTTCTATCCCGGGGAAGATCTTAGAAAAGTTTATTAAAGAGGCCATCCTTAAGGGACTGGCCGATGCCAACATCTTAAGGGATAGCCAGCACGGGTTTGTTGCGGGTAGGTCTTGCTTGACCAATCTCATTTCCTTCTACGACCAGGTGACCTATCACCTGGACAAGGGAGAAGAGATTGATGTCATATATCTTGACTTCAAAAAAGCCTTCGATCTGGTATCCCATGATCACCTCTTGGTGAAACATTAATGATGTGGACACTGGAGTCAGAAGCGGACTGGCCAAGTTCGCCGATGACACCAAACTTTGGGGCAAAGCATCCACACCAGAAGACAGGCAGGTTATCCAGGCTGACCTGGACAGGCTCAGCAAGTGGGCGGGCGAGAATCTGATGGTGTTCAACGCCGATAAATGCAAGGTTCTCCACCTTGGGAAGAAAAACCCGCAGCATCCTTATAGGCTCGGCAGTGCTATGTTGGCTAGCACTATGGAAGAAAGAGACTTGGGGGTCATCGTTGAGCACAAGATGAACATGAGCCTGCAATGCGATGCGGCAGCTAGTAAAGCGACCAAAACTCTGGTTTGCATCCATAGATGCTTCTCAAGCAAATCTCGGGATGTCATTCTCCCCTTGTACTCGGCCTTAGTGAGGCTGCAGCTGGAGTACTGTGTCCAGTTTTGGGCTCCACAATTCAAAAAGGATGTGGAGAAGCTTGAGAGAGTCCAGAGAAGAGCCACGCGCATGATCAGAGGTCAGGGAAGCAGACCCTACGATGACAGGCTGAGAGCCCTGGGGCTCTTTAGCCTGGAAAAGCGCAGGCTCAGGGGTGATCTGATGGCCACCTACAAGTTTGTCAGGGGTGACCACCAGCATCTGGGGGAACGTTTGTTCACCAGAGCGCCCCAAGGGATGACGAGGTCGAATGGTCACAAACTACTTCAAGACCGTTTCAGGCTGGACATAAGGAAGAACTTCTTTACTGTCCGAGCCCCCAAGGTCTGGAACAGCCTGCCACCGGAGGTGGTTCAAGCGCCTTCATTGAACACCTTCAAGAGCAAACTGGATGCTTATCTTGCTGGGATCCTATGACCCCAGCTGACTTCCTGCCCTTTGGGCGGGGGGCTGGACTCGATGATCTTCCGAGGTCCCTTCCAGCCCTGATGTCTATGAAAAATCTATGAAAATCTTTTTTTGCCAGTGTTTCTGTATCTTTGATTGAGTTCGTCTATAGGTGCCAGGTGGCCACAGCATGGGGCAAAAGGTGGCAGCCGACCTCTTAGCGACACCCACGACTGCAGTTGCGCTGCTTGCGAGACCATCTGCATCTGGGATTGAATCCGTCTATAGGTGCTGATCTACCCTTTTGATGGTGTGCCTGCATAAGAAATTACTGTTTCTTAGGGCCTGGCTCTGGTTTTGTTTTTCCATCCTTCCTGACATCCCTGTCAGAGCCCTAGTGGCTGTACCTGTCTAAAGAAAAAAGGGATCTTTCTTGCAAGCATGTGTGCATCTCTGATTGAGTCCATCTATAGGTGCCAATCTACCGTGGTGTGCCTGCATAAGACCGTATCTTTCTTTCTTAGGGCCTGGCTCTGATTTCATTTTTCTATCCTTCCTGACATCCCTGTAAGAGCCCTAGTGGCTATCCCTGTCTAGAGGAAGGAGGGATCTCTCTTTGCAAGCATGTCTGCATCTCTGATTGAGTTTGTCTATAGTTGCCAATCTACCCTGGCTTCTGCCTGACTTCAGGCTCGCACAGCTAGCTACCCTTCCTCCTGCTCTCTGCAGTGTTTTCTGGGAGCGCTGAGCATGGTGGTAATCCTCAGAGCGTCGGATCTTGGACTTGATTTTTTTCAAGGCACTGCCTGGGCCTTGTCCAGAATAGTAATTTGTACCATATCACCTGTACCTGCAGTTGGAGGAGAAAGATCCCTCCTTCCTCTAGACAGGGCTCTTACAGGGATGCAACGAAATCAGAGCCAGACCCTACGAAACTAAGATACTCTCTTATGCAGGCGCACCACTGAGAGATGGACACATGCAACCTCAAATACACCATCCCTTTAACAGGATGCACTCGTGCATGTGCTTAAGCAGGGATGCCCGATTTAGGAAGATTCAAAACACCACGAAACACCTGAATTTGTAGACTCTAAAATGTCTTTTTGAAACAAGAAGATAATTTAAAATTAATAATGGCATAATGGAGCCTCCCTGCAACTAACTGAGACATGGCAGGTGTGCACACATTAAGAAAGAAATGGACCGTTAGGAATATTTCTTCAATCCGAAGGGTGTTTTGTACAGGCTATATGTTTTGCTTTTGTTAATTTTCTTTTCCAGCTTTCTGTTTTGCATGTGGAGAAAAGCAATCAGCTGTCAGAAGCTCAGATGAATAGAATACATATTTTACTTTGCTTCAGGATAGCACTTCTGTTATTTGTGTTTATGTCTTTTTGATAAAGTGATTTGCTATGAATTTATTCTCCATCCTGATAAAAAAAACAAAAAAACCCACGTACTGCAGCCCAAATGTTCTGCATGTATAAGGATGGTTCTGAAATGGGATTTCTATTTGAGAGTATCACACGTTTAGACTCTGGGCAGGGAGTCAGAAGTATTTTTTCCATAAGATACCTTTTTTTGTTATGTTTAGGGGAATGATTTTAGGACAAAGACTTAAGAAACCTCAGCCAGAATGATTATAGATCTCCGAAAGTCAGCACTGGTTTTTTTCAAAAGGTGTTATTTAATGAAAATCTCAATAATCCTTTTTAGCAAATGTCATATATCAATCTTGAAAAGGAAATTCCTTATTGCTTAGAACAAAGCAAACCCTCATGCTGGACAACAGTGTCTGAATTTGAGGAAAAGCCTCTTGAACTCTTTCTAAATGTAGTGGTTTCTAATAGATCCTAAAATAACCCATATGGGTCCAAAAGCATGCCTAGATTTTCAGAAAATAATGTTTCCAGAATGATACAGTACAGTCACTGGAGCATATAAGGAAAGTTGTAAATGTTCTGGGTAGGTCTGCTTGTTCTTTACTCAAGATCATTCATTTTCTTAGGGTTAAATTCATTCACTTGAGATCTTGGGGCTTATATTGTAAAAACACTTAATTACCATTTATTTCAGCGAAGAAGTTTGAAATCCTTCCGAACATTTTACGATCGAGACCTTTTTAACTACCTTAAGTCATTTTCAGTATAGGCTCTCCATAATTTGCTGATTTGACAGTATTTGAAAAGACTAGGACCTTATGATTTAGTTCCTTATTAAGAGACATTTATCATGATATTTTTAAATATACTGACTATTTGTCAAATAATGCTTGTATTTCTTTGTTTCAGTGTAAGTATAATTACTCGATCAACATAAGCGCTCTGTTAGGGAGAAGAACGGTGAATGCACGTATGGCTGGGGCATTCTGTAATGTAGGTACAAGCAACATGAGTCTTGGGGAGCGCAAATGGTGGTTTTCATTTTAAATTTAGCTTAATACTCATGGGGGGAGAGGGCAGAAAATAGAGCTTTTTAGGAAATGCTTTTGAAGCCATGTGGTGCTCCTTGCTGAACCAAGGATGACATTTTGACCCTATAGAAATCCATAGCAAAACTTGGTCAGGAGTTGGTCAGGA